CTGCGGCGACAGCAGTCCTCGAGACGACCAATTCTGCCTCCCCGACCTCCTTCCGCGCCGCAATCAACACACCGGAGATGGTGATGCAGATTCTCAACGGTACCGTGCCGGACTCTTCCCCCGCCGGCCGACGCCTGCCCGCCTCCTCATCGGTGTTTGAAGACCGTTCCCGCGTCAAACGGCGAGTTGGTCGGCTGACTGATGGGGGAGAGGAGGTGGAGGAGGTGGGCTGTTACAGTCCCCACCGGGGCGGGGCCCGCTTCGGTCGCCCCGCCCTGTCAGCAGCTGTCTCCAACGGCTCGCTGGAATTGCCCCAGGGGGTCCTACTCAGTCGTAGGCCGCCACCTTTCGTCATCAGCGAATCCGAGTTCGATGAGGAGGAGGGGGATGAAGAGGACGTAGATGGCGAAGGATATCCCGTCGAGTGAGTGCTGTATTCAGTCTTGGCCAGTCGGTCTCGCAGTTGGGCGTGGGTTCTTGTGGCTTATCAGATTTGGCCGTCCTAGCTGCATGTTTGTTCCTTACCCCTTCTGTCTAAATTGAACCTTCATGTTAGAATTATAGGCATAGGCGACCGTTTTTAGCAGATTTCAATATTCCGGCCCACGGACTGCTGTTGAGTGACTCATAACTGTGTGTGTAGGAACGGTGACGCGCGCGGGCGCACGCGTGAATTAGTTTATGATACTAGTGGACTTGCACAGCACCTGCCGCACTCTCCCTTCCCTTACCCCTCTCCCCCACGAGCCCCGTGTCAAGACAGAGTCAAGGAGATCGGAGGCGGAGCTAGGGCGCATTGGTTGACGAAACCAGACAGCCCATGCTTGCGTTCTGCACACCCCTGGTCCGCGCACAATGGACTAGGTCTTCACAAAAACAGGGACAGGCTCGAGTATCAACTGGTGCAAGTAGCAGAACCCTGCAGGGCCTATTGAAATGCCTGGAGTGTTTACACTTGGAAGGTTGCTCACCGACGGGATAAAGCGGTCGCCCTGTGGGATCAAAATAAGGGCCACAGTTGCTCCTTATCAACGTGGTTTTTTGTGGTACTTTTCTGCATTCATGAGATCCGTGGGTTGTTCTGTCGGTTCTTTTGACTTTGTCGTGCCATTTGAATAGGACGCGTGTTTGGCGAGAGAGAGAGAGAGAGAGAGAGAGAGAGAGAGTGAAATAAGGGTTGCGTAAGCCACCCTCACCAAATGCCTAATTCAAACGCAAATCAGCGCTGCACCTCTACTCCCACCTCCGTGGTTTTTGCCGCTCCTCGGCGTTTTTCCTGGAAGACGTGTCGCGCATAGATGGCGCCAACCGTGTACTCCTACGCCTATGATAATACACAATTTAAGCCTGGAATAAGTCATCCCATTAATCATTGAACGTGCATTCTAACGCTGGTCTATGGCATGGGCTCTATTTCGAGAACAGCTTGCGTGATATTATATAAACTCTAAGTGAACATTTTTTTCGAAACACTGTGATCCAGCAAAATAAATCACAACTCCTTTTAAAAACTAAGACAATCACAAAAGCAACGTATTTATTTCCATTAAGTAAGTCTTATCGAACATTTGCGACTTCTTTGTCCTGACACCTGAGAAAATGCGGAAGAAAGAGAACTGCGGATTTTCGACACACATGGAATGTGGCCAGAATCACCTGCACCCCGACGAAACCTCTGCACCGACATTCGGTCGAAATTCTGTGGATGTGCTTCGTTTGGTGGAAATTGACCACTGAATTCTGGTCATCTATGAGGTCTAAAAGAACGAACTTTGTCATTCAGTCATAAAGGGTTTTTTAGTATTCTTCTGCGCGACAGGCAATTATGATTTCCGTTTGATGAAATCCGATTCAAACCTATATTCCACTTAGGTCGCGCGTTTTCTAGTAATCGGTTTAGAGCCACCATGCCATCGGCTACCTGAGTCGTATTGGGAGTACGGTGCCTGATTTCGAGTGACGCTCCCTGACCTTAGTAATTCTTTTTTAAGTAACTAATATTTTCATAAGAAAGTCTCAGCACTCCATGGCCGAAGCACGAGAAACGGCCTATAAACCTGGATGTTGTAACTGAGCCATTTCCGTTTGCCCTTAAGCCAGTACGTTCAGAGTGCCAGACTGTAATGCCCTTTATGATTTTTATTACTCATTTACGACATTCCATTAGAAGGATGACAGCTCGCCGTTCCGTTTGGTCGATGTGTGTACTTTTTTAAGTTGTGCTGTCGGCGATTAGTGGCGTCAATCGCTACGGATGAGCAAAGGCAGGGGTACAAAATAAGTACTGTTTTGTGGAAAATAAATTAATTCATGTCCGTAAGCATAAAAATTATCGTACTTTTGAGGAAGTGAGAGAGATGTTGGCATTCCCCGCTTTTTAATGCCTACCGTCTAGTATCAGGTCTGTATTTTAACCATTTTTTCTGCCTGTTCTGGATATTAAACCCCAGTTCCATTTGTTAATTTCAGGGAACAACTGCTCACTCAAAATCGCTTCCGAACTCATACCACCCTGAATTTGAAAAAGAACGCCCGTGATGTTGAGACCCTGTAAAGGTAAGAATAACTCCCTAGTTAGCTACAGTAAGCGGTGCCATTTGCTTTTGTTAGCCAAAAACCTAAGTGAAGCATATTTAAGGAACCTGCGCCGTCAGCCCAATAAATCATTCAGTACTTGTTTATCACTGAATTTGCCTCTAAAACGAGCCAGCCGACAGATGAGTGGACCAACATGGGGGTTATACCGGAGTCTGGCAGGTGTTATTTCGGAATTTGACGCACACTGTGGACATCGCCGGTCACTACAGTCAGACTGTCGTATATTAATGACTGCCTGTTGACTGATTATGAATCTTGCGCGGTAATTGAGCAGTAGCTGGTTGATGTTGTCTCAAATATTCTCATCAACGTTTGGAGGGGGGCGAAGAAATCTACTCCAAGTTCGCGCAGTAATTTGCGAAGAAATTAAGAAGGGCAGGACCGTGCCGCATGTCTGTAAGCGAATGAGCAGGGCTTTGTATTCAGGCCCTGTATCGATATTCTGATCCACTAAACTCTCATAAGTGGCCCAGGCTCGTGCTCATACTGTCATTGTAATCTCACAAGTCCGACCGAACGCATGCTTGGATTGCGCATACACGAGCATAGGTTGACTGTACGGCGGGGTGGCTAAACACAAAAAGTGGCTGTCCTGTGACCTGCGAAACAGACCACGAGTTTAGCTTCACATCTTGGCAAGATAACTGCTCATACCGGAGGCCAGACAAGCCGGGAGTTGAATGAGACTGGCTTCGGATGAGATATCAGCCAATCGGCATGTTGACCTCGCCCCCGCATACCGAGTTTTGCGCACCTGCCTACTGACCAACCGCGCTGTTTGCTGGTTGACTAACGACCCTCCCTAGCTGTTGACATCTCCTTCGATGGCTTTGAGAAACCATGGCCACTTGAGTTGTGAGAATCATACTACTGGTTTTCCATGGCTGTATACATGCAATCGTGCTTTCCCGTGAGAACGTACAAAAACCTCTGTCCTTTTGGTTTGTGACACTCACCTGTCTGCGAAGCTTACTAATATTGCCCAGCAAGTGTCGAGAGGGGAAAGACGTGACCGCAGATATGAATGATGAGCGCACAAGGACTGCAGCAGTTATTACGTACAACAGTTCGACCGTCGTTTCCGACGATGTCCACTGTGTGCGCCACGGCAGAGTGGACGCTGGGACGGTGACTTGCGCGGTAGTAGACTTGAACGGCATCTACCGCACTTTCCTCCTCCACCTGGGCCCGGTGTCATGACCAGGTCAAGAAGACTGGAGACGGGAGAGGGTGCAGGTGGCTGGCATGGCGAAAACCCTCACCCAGGCGTTCCACCATTTTCCCTGGTCCACAACAAACACTTGACCAGCTCAGATCGCAATCGGCGCGACGTAGGCCTGCACGTGGGTGTGCCACCACATTCTCAATGTGGTCAGTTGTGAGTGCGCACTCCCAATAACGTCTACCGAATCTCGTCTAATCCGCGAGTTGGTCTGGCGAATCTATCTAGTGGCCTGTTTTTGGGGCGAGGATTATGAGTTACAGTTGATATGCAACCACCTATCCCGCAAAATTAACGTCTACCGCGTTCATTGCCGGTGGTCCGACTTGGCGCGCTGCACACTTGATCGTCCGCCTTCGAGTCCTGTCGCAACTTCTGGAAACAAGGATTTGCATCCACGTGGAGTTTTGATCCACGCTCGAGCCTTTCCTCAGAGACAGCAGCAGGGTTTGCATCAGCCTGCAGCTTATGCGTTTGTCGCCTTTCTCGCGTTCGAATTCCGGTCTCATCTAGCTTGAAAATGCGATCGGGTCCAGTTAACTGCATTGCGATCCAACAGCTGGCTTCGTAGGTCTACTGCTCGTCGTCGAATGGCTCTGAACGCCGTTTTCTGCAACAGGGTTCGACGCGCTGCTAATAGTGGTTTGGAGGTTTGTCATATGCCGCGATAACTCAGTTCTATCCAGGACCTTTGTTGCAGATCTGTTGCGTAACACGTCTGTCCCGCGGTAGGGATCATCGTATGCGCAGCACGCGTAGATGATTTCAGCCCCCCTCGACCACAACTACTTTCAGTCGTGTTGACGTTTCCCCCGCAACCACTGCGTCTTTGGGAGATAGTGGTCCACGTCGTCGTTTACGGGCGATCTTTCGTGTACAGAATGGAGCGCACTGTTGAGCACCAAATTACACGTTTCTCCATGTTAGCACTTGAAAATCTTGTTTATGGTGGCTCGCTCTCGTAGGACCTACGATTGACCCTGTAATCTTTCTGCTTTTTGCAGTTCGCAGTGCCTTCTAATCGGATTGGGCGGAAATGCCGTTCTCATTTCGTTGTCTGACTTGGAGAACCGTGCGAATGGACTCATTTCTCGTCCTCCTCCCCCTCCTCCTGCTCATGC